GAGGAGGAGTGGGAGGAGGAGGGAGAGAGAGAGAGAGAGAGAAGAGAGAGATAACATCATAAAGATAAACAGCAACATACGAAGGAGAGGAGGAGGAGGAACAGGGGGAGGAGGAGGAGGAGGAGGAGGACGAGGAGAAGGAAGAGGAGGAGGAGGAGGAGGAGGACGAGGAGGAAAAGGAGGAAGGTAAGGTGGAGGCGGGCGACGAAAGAGGAGGAAGAGGAGGAGAGGGAGAAGGAGAAGGACGAGGAGGACAGGAGGAGGACGAGGAGGACGAGGAGGACCCGCGGCCCCGTCTCCCGAGGCTCCCCCGCGCTCGCGGCCCTCGTGGTGTGCGCCGTGGCCTACGGCGCCTCGCAGGCCTTTTCGCTCGCCCGGGCACGGCCGGGCGCCGCAGCGCGCCACAGGCGCGGGGAGAGAGGGCTCGGGCGGGAACGGGTCCGCCGTCGCCGTCGTCGTCGCCGATCGTCGCCTCGTTTCCCTTCTGCTCCTCCTCCTCCTCCTGCTCCTCCCCCTCCTCCTCCTCCTCCTCCTCGCCGCGCACGCTCCGCCTCCTCCTCCTCCTCCTCCTCCTCCTCCTCCTCCTGCTCCTCCTCCTCCTCCTCCTCCTCCTCCTCCTTGCGGGGAACCAGTGCGTCTCTTGGACGGGGCGCCGCAAGGCCGCGGCGCACTGGATATGCATAAAATCGAGCCTCTAGGGGCCAGACTTTCATCCACAGCTAGTGCGCCTCGGATTTCTGGGGAAGGGGCGATCGATTCTCTCGTTCTCGCCGTCTTGGGTTTGGGAAAGGCCCTCGTGGTCACAGCCGACTCCGCCCCGGAACGCGCCTCTGGGCGCAAAAACCGGGAGAGGTCTTTGGAGCAGTCTTCTCGGCGTATGTCCTTGAGTCCCCCCCGACACCGCCCGAGGGGCCGCCCTGAGCATGGGGACGTGCGATGCCTCCCGAGCTGGGTATACGGAGTGTCTCGAGCGAAGGAGGTGTGGGGGGGGGGGGGGGAGCCCACACCACACCTGGTGGTGACGGTGGCGCCTTTCCTTCTTCCCGGATCGAGGGCCCCGCGGGGCGTCCAGGTTCGGGCGTTCCGGCAGGCTCCCGAAGGTTTTCTCGCTTCGGGGTGCTTTCCACCAGTTCTGCCCCTGCGCGGCCGCCCTGTAGTCCTCTTCCCTATCTTGCACGTCGGCTCATGAGCCACCCGGTTGCCTCGCATTGCCACGCGCGGAAGCGCTTCGCCCCTGCCTCGCCGCCGACGGAGAGGTTCTCCAGCGACTGCGCCTCACCGAGATCTCCTCCCTCGGGGTGCCCGAGCTATGTCCCGAGCGGCCGCCGCCAGGTGCCCGAGCTATGCATGTCCCGACGTCGGCCGGCGTGGGCCCCAGGTTGTGGAGGTGGACGTTGATGCGGAGTGAGCTGTGTGGTGCGGCATATAAATCGGGGGCGGAAAAGAGGGGGGTGATTACTAGGGGGGGGTGGATATCATGGCGGGGGCCATGATATTTCCCCAGATTTCATGGCGCCTCTTCTTGTTTCAATACGTCCCTGGCCCCCCCGCTGGGCCGCGCACATGCCGCAGGTCATGATTTGCACCCCCCCCTCTTGGACGCCCCCCTCTTTGCCGCCCCCGAATAAATGCGTGAGCGCTGCTACATAAGCTACGAAGTAGGCTAGGCTTCTATACCTCCCAGAAGGGGTCAGAGTAGACGGGGTCGGAGGATCGCTCCGCACCGCCGATGCATTGGCGATGCGATTCAATGTGGAGAGGATTCGTCCACGCCGGCTGCGCCGATGCATCACCCACGTCACCGACTCATCGCCGACGCATCGCCGATGCATCGACGATGCATCGCCGACGAATCCGATCCCATCTACTCTGACCCCGCCCAGGAGGCTTCTAACGTTGTGAAAGCCATGCGGTACAATTTTGGCGGTAAAGCTATGGTTTGTAGGCTCTGCGATGCGAGCTTGGGCGTGCGTAAGCAATGTTGCGTAAGCTATGTGGTGGAAAGGTACCCGGTGCAAGCTGGGCAGTGTGGGCCATGCGGTGCACGCCGTGTCGCGTGCGATCTGTTGCGCAAGCTGTGTTGTGCAAGCTGTGTCTTGTGAGGTATTCGGTGTCCGGGAGGAGGAGGAGGAGGAGGAGGCGGAGGAGGAGGAGGAGGAGGAGGAGGAGGACGCGGAGGAGGAGGAGGAGGAGGAGGAGGAGGAGGAGGAGGGGTATGCGGTGCAAGCTCTGTGGGTGAAGCCTTGCAGTGTGAGCGTCTTCTGTTGGTGGGCGCCCACGAGCGGGCACGAGCGCCCGCGCGGCGAGTCCTCGGGGCACCCGCCCAGCGCACCGGGCCGGCGCGAAGCGCCCATGGGCAGCCACGGGCGCCGGCGTCGCAACTCCTGGGCGGGCCCGTTCGGTCCAAGCGAAGACGCATCCCCCGAGGGCAAGCACTGCTTCAGGAAGGGCCGCCTGGGCCCCGAAGGAGGGGGTGAGGACCAGAGGTGTGTGTGTGTGTGTGTGTGAATGGACATCGTGGCCAGGGCCACGGCATCTTTCAGTCTCAAGCATTCCCCTTCTCCCTTCGTGCGGGAACTGGTGCTCGTGCCGGCTGCACGTGGAGGTGGCTGGTGCTGGGCCGCCCGGTCTCGCCGGCCGCTCCACAGTTAGGGGGTCGTCCCTAGCCCGTCCTGTCCATAGTTAGGGGGTCGCCCCTATCCCTGCCACCTGCAGCAACCAGGGGAGTGCTTGGGATGATTGGCACTTCGCCCGCGCGCTGTAGAGCTCCTTGGTGTCCTCCCCTTCCCTCCCGGCGCCAATGATGCAATTGGAGGTGTTTGTTGTAGTGATATGCCTGCGTTCGCATGGTGATTCCCTGCTCCAGTTCGGTGCTTTCTCTCCTCTTCCTCCTCCTCCGCCTCCTCCTCATCATCATCCTATCATCCTTGTCCAGCTCGCGGAGCTGCGCAGGATCACCTTCGAGGCCATGGCACTGGAAAAGGTGCTCATGTTCCCCCTCCAGAGGTGGAGGGCTGCAGCGAGAAAGTCAATGAGAGAGAACTGCACGTGCTTGGCATGAATGTCAACTCGTGGCGAACGGGCGAGAACGTGCATGAGTGGCTGGTCGACCCTGTGCTCGGAGGCCAGGGTCGCCCTCACGTCATCTGCTGCCAGGAGGCTCGCATCAAAACGGACAACAAGGCGATCTCTGCTCGTAGCTGGTGTAGCCGTCACAACATGCAGCTCTCGCTGGGGTTCGCGCGCAGCACGGGGCCAGGAGCTACACAGAGTTCGTCTGGCACGGCGGTCGCGGTGCTGAGTACCTTGGCATCGTCGCCGGTGGAGTCGGACCTGTTAGAGACGGCCTCGAGCAGATTCTGCGGGCGCGTCGTGAACACGGGCTTCCCTGGTGGCATGCTGTTCGTCACGGCCTACTTCGTCACAGGCCAGGAGCTTGCCGGGCCCAACGTCCACATGCTCAACGCCCTCGGCGAATACCTCTGAGGCCAATCTCGCCCCTGGGTCTTGCAGGCAGACTTCAACTTTACTCCCCAGCAGCTTTGAGACAGCGGCTGGCTGCAGATTGTGCGCGGCACCTTGCTCCAGCCTCTCCCACGTGTTCGCAAGCCCCCGGAGGTGATGCAGTTCTCGAGGGAGAAGGCTCTGTTGGGCCAGTTCAGGACGTCCCTGACAACTGGGTCCAGAAGGAGTTCCAGGGCCAGGAGTCTCAGGAAGTGGGCCAGGGGCCCAAGCAGAACGGGCAGTCTGGCCGCATTCTGGATTTTTTCGTGGCGGCGGAAGTGCTGGCCCCGCGCGTCCAGGAGGTCCAGGCGCTTCACGGGGCGCCCCTGTTTCCCCACTCGCCCGTGCTCCTCAAGATGGCTGAGGTATCGCACGCAGCCACTATCCTCCAGCAGGTCAGGTTCAGGGCTTTCCCCATGGGTATGATTGGGCCGCAGCAAGAGCCTCGCGGGTACCAGTGGAGCTGGCAGCTAGGCGATTCGAACGGCGCCCCTCTCGAGAGGACGGTGCAGGAGTGGTTCGGCTTCTCGGAAAATCGTCTTCTGGAGCTCCACGGGCTCGAAGAAGGATCTCTCGGATACGCGGGCCGAGGCCTTGGGCCGAAAACTAAGCGCGTCCCTCTTGGAGTTGTATGGGAAAAAGACCAGCGGCGAAGGTTCAGCGCCCGGACCACAGCATGGATTTCTTTTCTCGCGCTGGCCCAGCGGTGCCAGAACACTGTTCAAGGTAGTCTTGGTCGTCACGGCAGGTGGCTCCTAGATAGGTGGAAAGGCATATTGCTGAGCATGGTCTCCGCGATGCAGCCGTCCGAGGGCCAGCTCTCCGCGGTCGCCCTCTCGGAGTTCGCCGAGGCTGTGGCCACCACTGTCTGCCTCGACTCGCCGTTCTGGGCCACTCGGCGACGAGGTATCCAGGAGGAGGCGGGAGGATGCAAAGACGGTGATGTACGAGTGGAGAACTTGGGCCGTGGAATCCGTCAAGGGAGGAGGGAAAGCTGCTCACGCATTTTCTCGGAAGACTTTCCAGAATTCCACTTCCCTTCTGGACGACGACGGGTTTCCCGCGTGCGGGCAGGAGGCCCTCGAGCTCTTGGTCTCGTGTGGGATGGGTTCCACCCCCGGTGGATTCTGGACCTCACCGAAAATCACCAGTTGAGATTGTTAGATATCCTGCGCAGGTTTGAAGACTCGCCTCAGGATCTGCTTATGTTCATGACGAACATGGTGTCCATCGCCAAATCCGACGGAGGCGTGCGTCCCATCGGCCTGCTTTGCCTGATCGCGAAGCTGTGGTCGAGGCTCCGGCAGCCTCTGTGTGGCCGGTGGGAGAAGCAGCACGCCCACGATTTCTTCTGGGGCACGAGCCCTGCGAACACGTGTGAAAGGGCGGGATGGGTCCACAACCTCTTGGGGAGTTTCTGCAGGGAGGCTGGTTTTGAGTCAGGGAGCGTGCTACTAGACCTGAGTAAGTTCTATGAGCACATCGCCCACTACGACTTGTATGCTGCTGCGCGTGTGTTCTCTTTTCCCATCAAGCTGCTGCGTGGGCTATGCTGCACGTGCGCAGGACATCGTTCGCTGCTGTATGGAGGCGCGGTGACGGCTACGATCCAGTCCAATGGGACCGTGATAGCCGGCTGCTCGGGAGCGACGACGATGGCAAAACTGTTATTACTAGGTCCCCTACCCCGTGCGAAAGCCGAGCGCCCACAGCTATATATCAGAAGCGTTGTCGACGACATTGCGCTGCAGGCTTGCGGTCGGCCCGCCCAGGTAGCAGGAACTCTTGCAGGTGGGTTCGAATCTCTCTTGGTGGACTTTGGCCGGCTGAAGCTGCCGGTCGCCATGAAGAAAACCAGGTATTTGTGTTCGATCGAGGTCCATAGACTCGTGAGCTCTCAGTGGCCCCCCCCTCCATCCAGCCGGGTCGATCACCATCGAAATTTGGGCACGGATGCGACGGCAGGCGGCGTCAGGAGGGTCGGCATCGCGAGGTCCCGGTTCGTCGCGCAGCCAAGTCCATGTCGCGCCGGCTTCAACTTCTGAGGGGGCGGGAGCCGACATCGCCCTCGTCCAGAGGATGGGGGCCACAGCCTCTGCCCTGTCGGGTAGCAGTGTTTCGGGGGTGCCCCCATCGGCCATGCACGGCCTGCGTCTGTCTGCTGCTCACAGCGCTGGAAGGCATCCTAGAGGAGCCAGCCTTGGGATTCGGTTGCATTATTTTCGCCTTGGGTCGATTTGCGATCCTCTGAGAGGGTGGCCTACGCTGGTCATGTCATGTTTCAATGGGCCACGGCGGTCTGGGAGGGGTACCCATAGGCCCACATCTTAGATACCACCATGGCCTCGGCGATATCTCGGGCTTCCAACAAGAGGCACCCTTGGAGAGGGGCGGCTTCCCCAGCCGACGTAGCCTACTTGTCATTGGCTCGTATCGGTTGGTACTTTTTGAACAGTTCGCAGGTTGTCAGCGACCTCGGCGACACCTGGAATCTTTTGCAGCTCGCTCCGATGGAAGTTCGGGCTCTTTTTCGCGACGCGGCCATCAGGGCCTCCGATCGCCAAGCCCTGGAACAGCACGGCTGCCGGGGGCGCCAGGAGGGCCAGAAGGCCCCGTCGTTTCCGATTTTCTGGCAGGGCGATTCTGGGCTTCTCCGTGGGAAATCTTCGGCCTGGACCGTCCAGCACCAGAGATCGTTCTGGAGCTTAATGTGTAATGTGCATTGGCCTCAGGCCCGAGTGCGTGGGCGTTCGTTGCACCGCTCGCCCGACTGCCGCCTATGCTTTGGTGCTCCGGGCACGCTGTGGCACATGCAGTTCGAATGCCCAGCGCATGAAAGCCAGCGTCGGGACAGCGTCTCGAGTTGGCTCAAGGAGAGGGCGGTGAGGGCTCGGGAGGCCGGTGTCGAGGTTGGGGAGAGGTTCGCTCGTGGCGTGTTTCCCTCGCCTCTCGTTTTTGTGCCCAGGGGTGAGCCCCAGGAGCTGATCTATTGGATAAATAAACCCTCCTCGGGGCTGCTCACAGGCTGCATTTTTTCCGACGGCTCGGCGATGTTTACCACTCTGCACGGCGTGGCGCGAGCTGGATGGGCTCTCGTGCAAGTCGACCGCTTCGGCGGTGTAGTAGCGGCGGCCTACGGGCCTGTGCCCTTCGCCTTCGGTCCTCGTCAGACGTCCAGGGACGGCGAGGATTTTGCTATCCACATGGTTGCGAGAGTTGGCATGCCTCCGTTTGATTTGTACTTCGATTTTGACACGACGCTGGAGGTGTTTCTCAAGGGGCCGGGCTCGGGCACGTCAGCCGGCGCGCCTCGCGGGCACTTGTGGCCCCCGTTTTGGAGCAGCTTTGTTCGGTCTGATTACGAAGCGCACAAGACTCTTGCTCACGCGACAGGTGAAGATGTCAACCAAGGCGGCCCGACCTGGTGGGAGAAAAGGCCAATGCCAGTGCGGACGCGTATGCTAAAGCTGGTGCTCTGTTGCATGGGGTCCAGCAAAAACATGCTGACCTCATTGGTGGCTTCGGGCGCTCGCCATGGAGTCAGGCCGCTGGGGAGGCAGCCTGGAGGTCCAGCTCAGCCAGGCCTCGTCCGCCAGGGCCGACTGTGTCGGCCGCGATGTCGAAGACGCCGAGCCTGCCCCGCAGGAGGCGAGCCCTCCGGAGGATGGGCCGCCCGCAGCGGCAGGAGATGATGATGGGGGCGGGGAGTCGGGTGGCGAGGACGGTGGGGGGGACGGGCAGGGTTCTCTCCTGTGGCCAGATCTGGCCCCGTCCGCTAGCTTTGTCTGGGGCCACGCCCTCCTCAAGTGCTCCTTCGATTCGCCCTCTCATCGGAGAAAGCGGTTAACTTTTTGTTTTCGATGCGGGGCTTACTGTGCGGACTTCCGCCCTGGAGTGTAAAGGGAAGCCTGCCAGCCCAGGCATCAAGTCCCAGCTTGGTCGGATCAAGAGTGGAAAGCATCCACACTATCGTGCGACGATGCGCGTTCTGAAGCTTAGCCTCCCTGGCCCGTTGATTCCGGAAGAGAGGGAGGCTATGCGTCATGCGATTTTGTACGAAGCTGCTCCAGGCGCTGGAGGCAACCCACTCCAATTGGCTCACGAGGCCCCCAGATTTGCATCAGAGGAGGCTGTGCTGCAGGCATTCGGTCTTCTCGTCTCTGACCTGCCCCGTGTGCAGGCCCTTGGAGAGTCCATCCGTCGAGGAGGGTCAGAAGAGGACTCTGACCCCGAGTCGGACGGAGGCGATTTGTTCTAGTCACCGCGTTTAGCGCAATCCACAACAACCTATCATCCTTGTCCTCCTCCTCCTCCTCCTCCTCCTCCTCCTTCCCTTCCTCCTCCTCCTCCTCCTCATCATCATCATCATCATCCTCATCCTCCCCCTCCTCCCTCTCGTAGTGTACGCTGCGGGCTCGCCTGTATCCGCATCCAGTGCTCCTGGATTCCTAGTGTTTCGCCTTCGCGCACTCCTTCTCTCTGGTTCGCGCGTGCTGTCGCACAGCTTCCGTTTATACAGCCACTGGATGCAGAACAGGCATTATTCGTAGTTTGGCGTTATATTTTTATCGAGGGCGCGACATGCAAGGCAGTTGCGCGGTTTGATGCCTTCGTCGCAAGAACATGCACCAACCACATCCGCGGGCACACACACACACACAGCACACATACACATACACGCAAACACACACACACACACACACACACACACACGCACACGCACGCGCACGCACACGCACACGCACACGCACACGCACACGCACACAACACACACGACACACACAATACACAACACACACGCACTTCTTGGCGGTCGCGGCCTCGCGTGCAGCGACGAGGCGAAGCGGGGGTGGAGTAATTCACGGGCGACTCGCGGCCGGGCCCTCGCCCGAGAGCACTTTGGATCACGCGCTGGTGCACAAAGCGGGAGGCATCTCACCACCCAGGCGTGGAAGCACACACACACACACACACGCACACGCACGCGCACGCACACGCGCACACACACACAACACACACACACACACACCCACACACAACACACACACACAACACACACACACACACACACGCGCACACATGCACACAAATACGCGCACGCGTCAGTCTCGTTCCTCCTCTTTTCCGCCGCCGCGGCCCGTGCAGGCAGCCCCTGAGCCTGCGGAGGGCCGAGGCCGCCGCCGAGGCGGGGCCTTCGCCGGGGGGTGGGGGTAGGAAGGTCAGCCACGCGCAGAGGGGGGTGGGGGGAGGGGGGGAGGGCTTCTTAGAAGCACCCCTGCTTCTTAGAAGGCGCGGGCCCTATCTATGGATGTAAGGCTGGCGCCGTCTAAGAAGCAGCCTCCTTCTAAGAAGCCCTCCCCCCTCCCCCCACCCCCTTGTGCGCGCCGCCAAGAGGGGCCCGGTGTTGCCAGAAGTGCCCCTGGCCCGAGGTGCCCCCGGAGTTCCAGGAGGCCCCCAGGGTTCCCAGAGCACCCCATCACCCATCACGAGGCCCAAGGGGGCCCCAGGGGCTCCAAAATGAGGCAGAAAGCTGGGGACACCTTGGGCGAGGGGTGCCCTCAGTAACCCCCGAAAAGAGATGAGGAGGAGCAGGATCGGGTCGCGCGAAAGGGGGGGGTTTGGCCAATGGGGGGGGTCCAGAATTTGATGCCTGCTGCTGGTCCGTCACGCCGCGCAGCGGAGCCGCGCTCGCTGTACCAGGAGCGCCGATGCTCCCTTCGCCTTCCCGCCCTTCGCATCTCCAGCCCACCTACCTGGGCGAAGGTACACATCATCTCTCATCTCTTAACCCGAGCGTGTCCGGGCGAAGGCACACATTCGACGTCTGGAGCATGCGCATGCGCGACGTGCGCCGCACCCAGCTGGGCGTTATCTTTGATCAGCGGGTGGCCCTCGGTCAACGACGCCGCCCAGCTGGGTGCAGCAAACTCACGGCAAACGCGCTACAGCAGCTGATTTCAGACCTTTTTCTCCTTGATTTGAATATGTGAATAGTTTCGGCGTTGCTACGTCGAGGTGTTCGGCGAGGAGTAGAAGTACATGCAGTTGAGTCAGGCACCAAGCTAGCTGCATGGAGCTAGCTCGCGCGCGAAACCAGGCACATACGGGCCGGACGAAAGGGGGGGATAGGAAAAAGGGGGGGTACGAAATCTGCTGCATGCAGCAGGTTTCGGCCCCGCCACCGGGCCCATTCCTCGATACATGGGCACCTCCCGGCGCCGGGAGGCGCCGGGACAGTCAGCTACGCCAGCTGGTTCTCAATCCCCCCCTCTGCTATCCCCCCCTTTCTCGCCCAGCGCGAGAAACCAGCCACGTACAGCCAGAATCGCCAGCTGATTCTCAGACCCCCCTTTTGTTATCCCCCCCTTTCGCCCTGCCCGAGAAAAAAAACAACCACATATACCTAGCCAGAACCGCGCCGATCGCGAAGTCCGTGCGGCTAGCCTAGCCCGGCGCAGCGCTATGGGTGCGTGTGGCCGCTATAGCCTCCCCGCCGCATCGGCTCCACGTAATCAGCCGGCCGGCCAGGCGCGGAGGACGAACACCTCAGGAGGGAAAAACACAGACACGATTTCGGAAGCTGGGCGAGGGCTGCTAAGACCGTGGCTGCTAAAACGGCCCTCCCGGAAAAAAAAAACAGCTTCCCGGAAGGAGGGGCGGCACGCGAGACAGTCGACGGGCTTCTTCCCGGAAGGAGGAAGGCAACAGGTCGATTTAGCAGCCACGGATTGTAGCAAGACGCAGACACAATGAATCGTCGATTCCCCCGAAAAAATGAAAAATTGGGAGGTGGATGGGAAGACAGAAACCCAGAAGATATGGAAAACTATCGGGAATCCGGTTACGTATTTGTGTCCATTCATTTATGTGTCCCCGGGCCCCTTCAGATCACCTGATGATGGTTGCCAACGCGCCGGTGTTATCATTGTGGCGATGTTTGTTTACGCGCCAAGCTCAAGTGAGAAAATCCCCAACAGTTTGGCCTTTACCATCCCTCCTTGTCGCGCGGCCCGAGGCGAGGAGGAGGGGAACCAGGACGAGGAGAGAGGGCGGACCTCGCGGAGCAGACGTAGCACTCCGCAGTTGCCGGCGAGAGTGATGGGGGCGGGCGCTGGGCGGGTCGCAGGATGGGTCGCAGGGTGGATTGCAGGGTGGGTCTCCAGGGGGTCGCGGGGGGGTCGCGGGCAATGACGCCCGAAATCCACGCGGACTTTTTTGGATCGGTGCTGGCGGCCCTTGGCGGCGCCGCCGGCGCGCTCCGCGCGCCAGGGAGCGTCCAGCTCCGATCCAAGAGATCGGCAAAACCTCCGACAGTTTATTGTTGTGCATGTTTCCCGATCGTCCTGTGCCGGGACTCGTTGGGAATAGAACACTCTAGTTCCCACCTCTTCTCTTCCCGTCTCCCTCTTCCTCCCTGCTTCCTCCTGCGCTGCTCCCTGGGTGGCTGCGAGCTGCGCAATTATCGCCACTCTCGTGGGCTCCTGGGATGTCCAGCGGTGTCGGGGGCCACGTGGGCCCAGCCGAGACCTCGCTGCTCTTTGGGTGGCTGCGAAGCTCGCAACTGTCGTCACTTTCGTTGGTTCGTGGGCGGTCCATCGGAGTCGGGGGCCACGCTGACCCAGCCGGGACCGCGCTGCTCCGTGGGTGCCTGCGAGCTTCCCAGGGTTATCACTAGCCTCCGGCGATGTGCAATTTCCATGTGATTCGGCCTCACCGCTCATTGTCCATATGAAGTTATTCAGGAGGGGAAAAAACACACAGACATAATTAATCGTCGATTCCCCAGAAAGTATAGGAAATTATGGGAAATGGGGGGAAGACAAAAGCCCAGAAAATATAGGGAAATATGGGGATTTGTTTTAGTTGTGTGTATTTATTTGTGTGTCCCCGGGCCCCTTCATATCATTCCTGCCAGAGCGGGTTTGACCCCCGCCCCTCCTCCTCGACAGATAACACTATGCGCGCGCTCTCGCGTATGCGAAGTCGCAACATTTCCATAAACTGTTGTGCGCGCAGAGGGACAACGTCCCCACCTGCGCGTCGTCGGCCGCGCATGCCGACATCCCTCAAAATGATTTCGGGGGTGGACAGAACCCCCAACAGTGACACGTCGATTAGTGAATTGTCCGTATTCGGTTCTCGAGAGGGCGCCGTGGCCGTTATTTTCCGGGCTTGCGCCCGACAGGCTTGGGCCTCAGGTCGTTCTCACTAAACCACGTTTTACTAAAGTGGGGTCTGTCCATCCCCGATGTTAGGCGTCGCACGGATGTCAAGATCGACTGCCCCGCAAGCATGCTAAACCATGTTTTGCATCATGGTTTTTGAAGACACATTTGCGCGCTCTTGCGAACTCTTACCTTACCCCTATTTCCTTCAACATGTTGAGTAAATGCGACCGAGAGGGCCGATCGCGCGCGCGTGCCGGAATCAATCGTACGCATTGGCGCGTTTGCTAAGGGGGGGGCACGATCCTTGTCCACCAAAAAAACATACGGGGCCACTCGCGCCCGTCGGCCGCGCGCGTACGTCGAAATCCGTCTAAAACATTCGTCGCGGACGCGTAGACACCATCGTCGTCTTCGGCGTAATTAGCATCGGCGCCGTGCTCGGCCTTGCCGTCGTCATCGTCATCAGCGTCACAATCGCCTCCAGCATCTCTACGATCATCATCGTGTATGCCGTCGTCGGTCGACGTCGCCATGATACCGCGCCCGCCCGAGCCACCGACTTGCACTGAAGTGCCCGCGCGTTAGCGGGCCTGCGAGACGCGCTGGGAGGTGCCCAGCGGGCAGCGCCACCGCGGCCGCGTCGGTTGCGCCAGACTAGCTGGCCGCTCTGCGCTCGAACCTGCGCGCGCTAACGCGGCCGCAGCGATGTGCCAGCCAGCGCCAAGCAGTCATCGCAATCGCCGCCTCGTGGGTTTTGCAAACCATGTTGGGGGTGGCTGGGTGGGATGATTGCGTGAGCAGAGTCGTTGACAATTTCAAGTGCGGCAGGGTGAGTCGGGCCACGTAGTTTGCACACCATAGGGTGCACCGCATATGTTGCGCAACATATTCTGTCCCACATCGACTGCATTCCATATATGGCTCCTCCTAGATCGCACGAACATCGCTGGCTAGAGACATTGTTTGGGGCTACGCTGGCCAACCAGGTATTTCCTATGTTGGTTGCCTTCCACCCGGGGGCGCTTTCGGTATCTCTTGCCTGATGTTCCCGCTGCAGCGTTCTCCTAAATTGATGATTGGCGCCTTGCTCCCTACATCCAGAATGGCGCTCTCATCCCAGCGCGGGCCCCTTTTTTGGATCTCAGTGCTTCCGCATCGTCGTCGCCCCGCTCCCTTCCCCTCCCCCCTCTTCCCTGGCATCCTGCTCCTGCCGCTCCTCCCACTCCTGCTCCTGTGCGGCTGCTGCTCCTCAAAATGAGGAGGCCGACGATGATCGTCATCCTCCTTCCTCATCCTGCTCATCCTCCTGCCCATCCGCTTCCTACTCCTCCTCTGTACGCAGCTCCTTTGCGTGATTCCGCATGGCACAATGGTGTCCTTTGGCGGGGCCAGGTCCGCTATAACACCCGTCGGCGGATTTAGAGACAACCAGCGTAATGGGAAGGAATGTGTGGGATGGGTAGGATGTCAGATTTGGCGCGAGTGCACCTACTTTGTCCTCCCTACATGCCTGCTTCTCCCATCCCGCTCACCCTTGAGGGGCACGCGTTGTGAAGTTATGCTATCCGTGGGGGCCCCTTCCAGCCCGGGAAGGTGGCCTCGAAAACGGGCGATGTGGAGAACTACGAGTTCCAGGCCGAGGTCGGAAAGGTTATGGACATTATCGTGAACTCGCTGTACTCCAACAAGGCTGCTGGGGGGGGGTGGGGGGGGGCAGGAGGGCACACGGCCCACACCTCCTGTCCACAGAGTCGGTCGCAGACCATGGGAGCCTCGTGTGCCCTCGCTATGCCGCCTTTGGAGTGCACTAGCGTCGACGAGCGTCTGGTTCGCAAGCCGTGTCGCACGAGAAATCGGCTAGGGAATGGACGCACGCTAGCCGCGCAGGAAGTGACCATCTGAGGTCAGAGAGCACACTCAAGCATATATGGGGCCAATGGAAAAAGAACGCTGTTTAACAATTGCGTTCCAAATTAACGCGGTTGCCTGAAATTTGTTGGTGTCGTCGATTTGGCAGAGGCTATGGTGCGCCCGCCGAGGCGTGATCGTGCAGTGTGATCTCACACTCGTCAGCAACACGGCAAGCGGCGCTTTGTGCGACAAAACGTGCATCGCTGGTTTCCCACATGACGTCTCACGGAGCTCTCGATCCGGTTCCCGGGTCGTTCTTTGTCGGCCCCCAGGCCCCCAAAAGTGGGCCTCCAGAGGCCAAGACTGTGAAAAGCCGAGACTTGCCAATGTTATGTCACCCGCGCCTCCATCGAAGGACGTCTTCCTCCGCGAGCTCGTGTCCAACGCTGCCGACGCGTGCGACAAGAAGCGGTTCCTCGCCCTGACGGAGAGCGACGCACCGCCGGAGGCGATGAAGCTGCGGATCACGACCGACAAGGACCGACGGTGCGGTGCATCGAATGTCGACGCCGTCGTCATCGTCGTCGACGTCGTTTCGGATTCTGTGTGTGCTTGCTAGGGTAAAGTCGGGCCTGTCCCTCTACAGGAGGAGTATTCAAAAATATATTAAGAGAATAGTCCGGGGACGATTTTCTCGTTATTCTTCATTCGTTGCGCATCTGTTTTGACTATGTCTTAGCTTTCGCCCAAAATCCGCCTGTAGGGGGACATGCCCGACCTGATGCTAGGGATTCCCGGCGTCGTCGCCGAAGACGCGGCTCCGAGAATTGAGGCCGTGGCGGCTGGCCGTGGAGGAGGATCCTGGCTCCAGCCTCTGCGGCGGGAGAGTTCTGGACACGCCCAGGGGACCGGAGGGGTGATCATAATAGAAGAAGAACAAACATTCAGGAGGGGGAAAAACGCACAGACACAATTAATCGTCCACTCCACGGAAAATATGGGAAAATATGGGCAGTGGGGGGGAAGACAGAAACCCAGAAAATATGGGAAAATATGGTGAATCCTTTTCTTTGTGTGTATTTATTTGTGTGTCCCAGGGCCCCTTCAAACATAGATTTTTGGCGCTCCGCGCGGATTTCTTGGATCCGCGCTGGACCCCCCCTCCCAGGGGGGTCTCGGCGCAGATCCAAGAGATCCGCGCGGAGCGCCAGAAGTTTATGTGTATGGCGCTTTCAGACAGGTTGACATCGGTATTATCGTCGTCACTGTCACAGCGGCATCCCGCTGGCTGGAAAGGAGGCATCGTCACATTATCATCATGATCGTCATCATTGTCGTCATTACCGTCATGATCGTCATCATTCGAACCCCCACCCCGCTTGGCCGACCGGCGCACTGCCGTGCTCGATGCCCTGTGCTGCGGCCGCGTTCTTTTCGTGGGCCCGCGCCCCGCCGGGTCTGGTCTCGACCTCGCTCTCACGAAGGGAGGTTTTGCCAAGGGGGTTTCTGCTCACACCCGACAGGATCGATGGTGCACACGAAGTCGTCGTCGTCGTCGTCGTCGTCGTCGTGGTCGTCATTTCGGACTTTGCTTGGGAGTTCAGGGGTCAGTGCTGGTCCTTCCTGCCCTTGCGGGAGCGGAAAAGAGGGGGGTGATGACTGGGGGGGGGGTGGATTTCATGGCGCGGGTCATGATCTTTCCTCAGATTTCATGGCGCCTCTTCTTATTTCATTACGTCCCTGGCCCCCCCGCTGGGCCGCGCCCCCCCCCTCTTGGACACCCCCCCCCTCTTGGACCCCCCCCTCTTGGACACCCCCCTCTTGGCCGCTCCCGACCCTTGGTTGCCGCTGCTCTCGGGCCCTGCAGCTCGCGTCGGCACCTATGTATTATGTATGGCGGGCGAGGCGGGGCGGCCGTGCAAGACGACGGGTGCTGCTCCCTGGCCGAGCAGGCGTCGTTGGCTGGAGGTTCCCACATCTTGCGTCGGTGACCTCCTGGGTGCCCCAATCGGGGGCGGCGAAGAGGGGGGTGATGACTAGGGGGGGGGGATATCATGGCGTGGGCCATGATATTCCCCCAGATTTCATGGCGCCTCTTCTTGTTTCATTACGTCCCTGGCCCCCCTTTGGGCCGAGCACATGCCGCCGGCCATGATTTGCACCCCCCCCCTCTTGGAGGCCCCCCTCTTGGCCGCTCCCGTCCCCAGCGGCTTCTCGAGCTCACCGGCCAGGGAGGCCCTCCACAGGCGGTCCTTCTTTATCCATGGTTTTGCCGAGGGGCGCGGGCCCTCGCACCTCCCCTCTCTCCCCCCTATGGAGTAGGTCTTGGCTGTTTTTGGCGCCTGTGTCAGGTACACCTTAGGCGATGCTTAAGAAAACTTAAGTTTTCGGCCAGAGTCTCAGTTATTCTTAATGTTTCAATGTAAATCCTAAGATGTTCATGGAAATGTTGGGTTTTTAATCAAGTTCTGAGACTATGAATTTCTTAACCCATGATTTCTTAAGCATTTCGCAGGGTGTAGGTGGGGTCTCCCCCATAGGACGCACTGTTGCACACAGTCGCATTCAGCAGAGGTCCAGAGCCAAACGTCCCCCCCTTTCTGCCCAGTGTCGAAGCGCCGAATCAGAAAACGTACACCATGTGCATGTGTAGCAAGAGCTTGGCTGCATCGCTGTACCCTTCGAGCGTCTGGCCGTGGGGACTCTAGTGGTCCTCGTCGTCGCCGCCGGACGCGGCTCGGATGGCTGTCCGTGCGGGGCCCCAGGAGAGGCCGAGCTTTTGCTTTGCGACGAGAACTTCTGAGAACACGCCCGAAGATCGGAGTGCGATAGAACCCTCATTTTGCTCGGTAGCAAATCATGGGAGCTTGGCGTACCCTGTCGATTCCGTCATCATCGTCGATTAGCGTCTGGGAGTCCATGAGATAGCGTTGATTTAGCGTCGGTCAGCGTCGATTAGCGTCGATCAGCGTCGATCAGCGTCGATTCGCAAGAGCCGACAAGAGGGTATGGGAGGCTCCCATGAGTTGCCACCGAAATTTTGCCGAGTTGAGTGGCGAGCTGCCCTCTGCTCGCTTCTCGTGGGGCTGCTTCGTCCGCAGTGCGTTGCGGGCCTGCGCGAACGCAGCCATTCTGCCGGGCGAAGAGAACTATGATGCACCGATCTTGGCAAGGCCCATCCCTGACCCAGGATCGGTACATGTGCCTTCCTGGCCAAGGCAGGAGGGCGTGTGCACCGATCCTGGCCCTCAGGATGGGCCTGGCCAGAATCGGTGTGTGTGTGTGTGTGTGTGTGTGTGTGGCGTCCTGGGGTCTCAGGGTCGGGCGTCCTGCGGAAGACTTCTTCTCCTGATGGTCGAGCTCCCGCTGCGCGCCCAAGCCTCTCGGAGAGAGGAGAAGCGCACCCTGATGATCGAGGACAACGGCGTGGGCATGCAGAAGGCGGAGCTGGTGGAGAACCTGGGGCGCATCGCCCGCTCGGGCAACCCCGGGGCGGTCCGAAGGGGGTGGGCCTCGGGGAGGGTCCAGGAGGGGGGTCTGAAGGCCGTCGGTCGAAGGAGGACAAGCGGGCACCCTGCGCTCTCGCTGCGCGCTGTGCGCCACGCAGCGGTCGTCTCCCCCTTCGTCCTCGCGTCCTCCTCCTCCTCCTTCCTTCGTCCTCCTTCCCCCTTCCTCCTCCTCCTCCTCCTCCTCCTCCTCCTCCTCCTCCTCCTCCTCCTCGTGCTTCCTCTTCGTCCTCTTCCGCCTTCCCCCTTCGTCCTCCTCCTCTCCTTGGCTCCTCTCTGCGCTGCAGCGCCGCCGCCCTGCGCGCGCCCGCCCGCGAGGGCGGCCGGGCGCGGCCGCCAGAGGCTCGTTCTCCTTCGGCCTGGGCCGGGAGCTGCGGCACGGCCTCCTGGATGTGCGTTTGCTTTCTGTCTGCTGGGCTGGCCGGCTGGCCGGATGGCTGGTTGGTAAGCCTGCTCTCAGGCTGGCTGGATGGCAGGCATGGTGCTCGAGTTGTTTCTTTTTCGTTGGGGGGGATGCATCGACCCCCACTCGCCCATGGATCGCCGACAGGGGCCCGACAGCCCCAACCTGTCCAGGACGGTGCGGATTCAACATCGGGGGCCTATCGCGGATCCAGCGGCGGTGCAATGCCGATTCCAGGTCGATCTGTCTCCCCCTGTGACAGTCCCCCCCGATCGCGGTCCCCAACGCATCAGTTGCCTAAGCATAAACTTGCTTATCCTCCTTCCCTGGCGTGCAAGGCGCGCCGGGGGCGGTGCAGGAGACGCCGCCAGGGGGGTCCAGCGACGACTCGAGAAATCTGCGCGAAGCCTCGACAGTTCTGCTGACGTCGCCTCCTTTTCTTCCAAGGAGGAGGAGGAGGAGGAGGAGGAGGAGGAGGAGGAGGAGGAGGAGGAGGAGGAGGAGGAGGAGGGTCGATGGCCTTCGGGAGCCCATACACCTGGCAGATGGATCTGATGATCGTGGCGCGACTCCCTCGATTTCCGCTCGTGGGAGCGAGTTTCGGGGCCTAGTGCCATCAGAGAACGGTCGGGGGTGACAAGACGGCCCCTGTGGGAAGTGGTGGAGAGTTCTGGGGATCTGGCATCAGGAGAAGCACCACGTGCGTCGGACGTCCGCGGGGAATCGAGGGGTTCCCAGAGCGGTGTCTGCTTGAGGCTCGGCGCGGGACCCTTCCACGCCTGAGCGCTCTTTCTTCCCCTCCCCCCGCGTGGCCGTCCTCGCCTCTGTCCCTCTCCCTGCACGTCGGCGGAGTAGCCACGCGGTTGCCCCGCTTGCCATACGCTGGAGCGGGCCGCCTCTGCCTCGCTGCCGCCTCCTCTGGGGCCTCCGGGGCCTGAGGAGGGCGCCACACCGCCGATGCTCAGAGGAGCAAGAGGTCATGATGATGCTGATGCTGCTGCTGATGTTGATGCTGCTGATGATGAGGAGGAGGATGAGAGTAATGAAATAATGGCGAAAATGATGCGGTGTAAGATTTCCTGGATTTCTTGATGTCCCACGCGGACTCCACAGGCAGAGGCTGCGAGATACTTCGGAATTCCTAGGCCGTGTCCTGAGTGAGTCGCAGCACGACGTCACTCTCGCCCAAGATGCATCGGTGATGCGGCGCGATCCCGATCCCGAGCTGTAATCACCCGCTATCGCCCGTGCATCGTTGATGCGGCGCGATTCTGGCGTCGTCTACTCCTGCCCCATCTGGTCGCCCTCCACCGAAAGGGCGGGCAATGGAAGTTGCGAAAACTTGCCTCTTCCAAGTACTCCGCCCAAGGAGGTCCTCAGTGGCCAGAGCCCACAACAAGGATGCAGCACTTCGTTTGGGCCAAGCACACTGCGTCCACAGCTCCGCGGCTGGTCCTATTCCCTGGTGATGTGCTTGCAGTGCGTCACCGAAGCCGACTCATCACCCGTTGTGTATCGAGGCCAAGATCAGGGCAGCATACGGCCGGCCGCTGTCTAGTGCGCGGCCTTGCGTGGCAGTGCACGTGCGACATTTCCAGGTGTGTTCGGTGGCCAAGATGCAGCTTCCAAGGGCCTCGCCCCGATGCTTAACACCCTGCGGGCCTGCAGTCCAGCCCCCGACGCTCTCTGTTCCCCCCTCCTGTCTCGGAGGAGGGAGGGCGGGCTACCACAACAGGGCGGAGGCGTGGTCAGGGGGCGGTGTCGACGACGGCCAAGTGTCTCGAGATCCGAGTTCGATGATTCGATAGTTGTTGATATGTTGTTGTGTTGTTTTGCATGTCTTGTTTATGTTTCCTTTGGAGCGTGTCTGGTTCCTTTGAACCACCAGAGTCCCACGACTATTGTATGTATGTATGTACGTACGTATGTATGTGTGTGCGTATGTATGTAGGTTGGTAGGTAGTCAGGTAGGCAGGTAGGTACGTGTGGTATGTGCATGAAGGCATATGCATATGTTTAGGGATGTGTAAGCACACATCTATACATACGTACGTGTCTACATGTATGTATGTAGTTATGATTGTGTGTATGCATGCATACATGCATGCATGCATGCGTGCGTGTATGTATATGTATGTATGCATGTATGCGAACATATGTATGTGTGCATGTATGCACGTATGCATGTATACAAGTATGTATGTAAGTATATAGTTCCGTATTTGTGTATGCGTGTATGTATGAATGTATGTGTGTATGTATGCATGTATGTGTGTATGTATGTATGTGTGTGTATGTCTGTATGTGTGTATGTATGTATGTATGGATGTGTGTGTATGTATGTATGTATGTATATATGTATGTATACGTGTGTATGTATATGTGTGTATGTATGTATGTCTGTATGTATGTATGTATGTATGTATGTATGTATGTGTGTATGTACGTATGTATGTATGTATGTATGTATGCATGTATGTATGTATGTATGTATGTATGTAGGTAGGTATGTATGTATGTTTGTATGTGTGTGTATGTATGTATGTATGGATGTATGCGTGTACACAT